GAGACTTAACCAGTTCAAACATGCCTTTCCATAACTACGGGATCTCATACATGGTACCAGGTTCGTGTAATAGGATAAGAACACAGACCCCACCATTGCAACACGCCAACTATAATAGTTCTGTGGGCCAGACAGCAGCCAAGAAGAGATTGGTCAACGTCAAACATATTATCTTTCGTTATTAGGATTGTGCAGAATCCCCCAACCTGATTTTGCCTACGTCACCGCACATTTTTCTTGACAAGAAGTTGACACCGCCTAATTGGCTTCAAGAAGGCGGAAAAGGGGTTACCTGGTGAGGGGGGCTCATCCTTGTGATGACACAGGACGATGCAGTGCCTCGAGCTGTCGTGCTGAACAGTTATCCAAATTTCAATATAATCCAGAACTCAAACCCCTTCTGGTGATACGATTAGATTGTTGCAGCGCTAGGCGAGCGCTTGAATATGGTAGCACCTGCAACAAGATCGGATCCGATTACGTTCAGTATGCATTACTCTCGTCACCACGAAGACGTAGATCTATTCGAAGCGTCCAACGATCTTTATGGATTTTCAAGGAATACAGGAGGTCAAAGGTAATTTTTAAATAAACCAGTGATTTTCCGAGAGAAACGTTTTTTTATTTCTTAATTAGTCAGTAATCTTGCCATGACTTTTAAACTATCTGCAACCAATTTAAGAACGCCCAAAGGGCCCACGTTTGATGTGCCGCTTCAGACGACGTCAACGGAAGACCCGAAGAAACTGAGCGAATTCTTTTGCAACTGCCGATATCTATGGTTGCGAGAGCTACACGGGCTCAGCACTACAATGATGGTAGATCTTATATGAAATTTTTCATTTCAACTGTAATCCTCAAACTTCTACCTAATAATTCATGAACCTGCGTGGACAAACTGCTTCTGGCCTGTCATGCTGATTCCCAGCGAAGTATGTATGTCGGAAGCGGCTTACCCGCGCGACTTCTATCAAGTGCGGCGGTCGCCAAGTCAAGTCCGTGACCCGCCTACTCAGACGGTTAGATATGAACTGTGAATACAACTGCACGTGCTATCGCAAGATAAGGGGCATTGTGATGGCAATGCATTTAAAACCGCTCAGAACGTCCCTACCTCGTTAAAATAGGGAATAAGCCCTGAGGGGTGAAGAGACCAAAGAATGCGTGCTCAGCTTTCATTTTTCACGAAGTTCCTACCCCCTCCTGGACTTAGTGCTTGAAGATGCCCCATCGATGCGATAACCTCCGATTAGAGCCTATGGGTCAAAGGCCTGACTCATCGCTGAACCTGTAGATCCTGTGCTTGGGCAGGTTGATGTCAGACTTTGTGGCTGGAGCGACTGGCACGAGCAATTCCCGCAATTGATAGCGCCAATCGCCCGCGAATGGAGCGATGAGTGATAGCTGGCAATTGGCGCGATTAATCGCTCCAACCGCGGCCGGCTTACGCAGGCACTCCAGTTGCCACCTTTTTACAGCGCTCGCAGCGGTGCAGGTTAGCGTTTTTCAGCAGTGAGTTCATATGAGGACACTATTTTCCTCGTTTAGTCAAACTCGCTCGAGCAGAAGGTCTTCTGGTCGTTTGTGATCGTTTTTTGTGGGCTGGTCTCAATTCTGAATGCTAACGCCATTTTGGGAAACTACTATGATCGATCGACTACTCTCATTACTTTTGTACCGGTAATTTTTTCATTCTTTAAGACCCCCATACGTGGTGAGCAACCCCGTTTACTCGTACTTAGTCGGCTTACCTGCTTTACCAATTCGTTATAACTGGAATGATATCGGCAACTAAGACAGGAGACACTGGCTAGAGGCGTTGAGTGCATAGCTGCATGATCCAGCGATCAACTCCCACCAGGCCATCAGAGTCACTAACTTTTCAAAGGCTGTCCACGTGGTACCAGGAGCATAAGGGATCAAAAGGGAAAACTTTCGGCGTTGATCGATCCCCTTTGCGATGCGCCATGCATGCTACTTCCATACAAAATCGTGGCACTACTTGAGTACTGTTCAGCCCACACAGTGGAGGGAGGGCGACCGCTGTGCAAATAGGTCTATCCAGCTGTGTCTGGCACCAATTAGTCGAACTGGAGAGACACGATCGGATAATGCTGGCGGGATTACCTGAAATGTTATCCCAGCAGTAAGCAACGTTACTTACAATTATATTACCACCTCCTACCGTACCAACACTGTACGTATTGGAAAGCAGCTCAGCTCTCTTTAGGTTGAGTCCCTAATATCATCCATATTCA